GGGGAAACAAAGAGAATGGGTATCAGAACCTAGATGCTTGGAGGAGGAGTCCCCGAGTGGGGACCCAGACTTCTGAGAAGGGGACGGTGGCCGGCTAGTGCGGATTATGGAACGCACATACAAGGGGCCCCGAGGAGTTGGGACACAGATCTCTTGGCTGGGGTGCTGCTCGGCCAGGCAGGTATCTCATGCGGATGTTCAAAAGGGCTGGTTCTGGGGAAGTGGAAAACCTTGAGAACCAACTGCTACTGGAAACCAATGCTGCTGCCTGGGCCAAGGGCTGTTGCTGGGTAACTGGCAGGAACAGGAAGCAACCAGAAAGGGGCTGGCCCCTTCTCCCCCCTCTGCCCCCAATCCAGCTTTCCAGGCTCCCTCTGATGGGCCCTGCTGGCAAAGAGGAAATGTTTGCAGAGCCCTCACCCCCACAACACAAAGCAGTGTGGAGGGACCATAACAGTCATGGGCCCATAACAGACATCAGGTGTCGATTACTCTCACGTTCTGAAATTTGCTGGAATAACCAACAGGCCTTCAGAAGAGCCTGAAATTGGTTGTTTTTAAAATTGTGCTAAAATATACAAAACATAAAATTTACCCCAAACTCAGCTCTTCAATCCAGTCTTGGTTTGTGACAATACTTTCATCAATCTGTCGTGGAATGAGAAAATTAAAGAAGGTTTAATCGGTTTTCATAAAGCTAAATTTTACTCACTTTGAAAGGACGTCTTTAAAGTTTGAAATTATGGCCTCCCAACTTTTGTGTGGGTAAATTGCCCATTCATCTATGTTCTAATGGGGACAATAAATTATAGGTTTTAAGTGTGTGTGTGTGTGTGTGTGTGTGTGTGTGTGTGTGATGGTCTAGCCTTTGGGTAAAGACTCAGCTGGTCCCTCTGGTTCTCCAAATATCCCTTTGAAAATGTGGGGGTCTGTGAAATCCACAAGAGTGAGAAATCCTGGACTCCTGGGTTAGGGCCTAAACTCGGGGTGAGGTAATGGGGGAAATGATGGGAGACACATAAGAGGCGTGAGACACAGGCGGAATCTGTAGGACAAGATACCTGACAGTACCGAATTTACTGCACTTTGTATGCACATGACTCTCTTTCCGACCCTCAAAGGTACAATCAGATGTTTTTATCAATAATCCCATGAGCAGCTCTTTGGGGTCAATTATATTAGAAACACTTAATGAAATACACCAATACATAATTTGTCCTCACATCTCTCCCTTAATTCCATTCTTAGAAAAGCATCACCTAATTGGTAGTTTTGTCATTGACTACCATGGTCTTCAGGTAAAACTCCTTCTTGAACAGTCATTTGACATTTAAATGGCTGTGGCACCCACCTGCCGGAACCTCCTTTCCTAAGAGGAAGGGGGTGCGAAGCTCCGTTCCTCTGGTCTCCTTTCACAATAACAGAGCAGCCTTCTCCCGGCTGCTGTGCTGCGGCTCCAATGACCTTCATCCTCACACAGGCTGAGAGCCGGTTTGGTCAAACTGACACCAATTCATGGGGGTATATTGCACATTCACGTATGTGCTACTGGTGACAATAAATAAACTTTTTAATAGTGCGCACACGTGTGTGTGTGTGTGTGTGTTAGTGTGTCAGTGTGTTAGTCTAGCCTTCAGGTAAAGACAGTATATCCCCACAATAATGGACATTATACCCTCACAGTGACACCACTGAGGGATGCTCAGTGTTACATTTTCATTTATCTTGAATCTCATCTATTTCATTTCCTCGTTCTTTTCTGGCCTTCTCTCATCTACAAAATCAGAATGACTTGTAATCGAGTTCCGATGAATAGGGCCGAGTCCTCTCCTGTGGAGGAGCCACCTTTGATAACAGCTCTCGCCATCAGTATTGTGCTGCGAGTTCTGTTCTTTCATGTTTTCTGTTTGCCTCCCATCTGCCCTGCCATGCGCGCGTGCACACACAGTCCCCAAGATGGCATCACCTTCATTTCCTGCATTTAGATTTTAAAGATAATACCTTTCTCCCAAATGAATTCAATGTAGGCACATAGTGCTTGAACTTTTCAAGAAAGACAAAGTGTTTCGGGGGGGTATTTTATTCCTTTCCCTTAGGATAAACTCCCCCTTTCTTTCCACTTTCTTTCAAAATATATTTACCCAGAGTAACCTGTTGGTACCTGTTGGAAACCCAGAGAGGGTCATAGTGTCCCAGTGTCATATGTTTTATTGTTCTGAAGTCCTGAGTGTGTTCTACGTGTAAGATATCAATCAGAAATGTCAGGTGTTCCTTTCTTATCATTTCTCCTAAGATCTCTCTCTGTTGCATCATTAAGGAGTTCTGTGTAACATAGGGAATATTCTTAGAACAGCACCCTCATTATTTAGAGGGAGTAATACTCGGAGACAATTATAAAGGCTAATATTGCATGCTACCTCTACTTTTCTATCGAGAACTCATGCTTGCTACCTACTCTTCTCATTCTTGTCATTCTCCTTCTGCATTGCCGTTGCATTAGGCTGTAGCTTCTTGAGAGTAGGGATTGCCCATCTTTTACCCAGTAGGTTCTTGGTCCATATATATATATTTTTTTAATATATTTTATTGATTTTTTACAGAGAGGAAGGGAGAGGGATAGAGAGCTAGAAACATCAAGGAGAGAGAAACATCGATCAGCTGCCTCCTGCACACTCCCCACTGGGGATGTGCCCGCAATCAAGGTACATGCCCTTGACCGGAATCCAACCTGGGACCCCTGAGTCTGCAGACTGACGTTCTATCCACTGAGCCAAACCGGTCAGGGCGGTCTGTATATTTTTAATTAAATTTAATTACGGTAGAGGCAGCACATGCTAACCTCTCCTTTAATGATAATGTACAAGGGTTAAATATTGGCAATCCTTGATGTTCTAACCTCATTCCTTTTCTTACTCTACACAATCTCTCTTCATCTAATCTCCTATGGTTCTGTCTAAAGTATTTAATCAGGTTCTTTCTCTATCTTCATTGTGAAGCTGGCCAGGTAATACCAGTCTACACTATTGCCAGAGAAGAGTTAAAAAAAACCCAAATCAAATTTTGTCATTTCTCTTGTTAAAATAATTCAGTGGTTCCCCCATTATGTTCAGGATAAAGTCCAAACTTCAACTAGACCCTCTGTGGTCTGACTAGCGCTTACTCTTCCAGGCTTATGTAGCACCACAGTCTTCCCCTCCTCCTTCCCTCCCACCAACTGTATAGTGAAGTGTGTATAGTTAAGTGGTCCAAATCCTGCTCCACCATTTACTAGCTAGGTAACCTTAGAAAGTCACTATGTTCTCTCTGCCTTACTTTCTTTTCTATAAAATGAGGGATCCAGTAGTTTCTATTTTATATAGTAATTTGATAGACTCCACAATTTAATATATGTTAAATGCTTATAATGGCCTGGCTGACAGTAATTAATGTATGTCTGTGTTTTGTGTCTTGCTATTAATTGTTGTTAATCTACTTGAAGTTCATCAGAGATTATCATCGCTCTCATTTCTTCCTTTTTGCATATGCTGTTTCCCATGCTTAGAGTCATCCACTTCACCTTTACCTGACTTACCCCTGCTGTCTCCTGAGCTTCTGCTTGGATATAAGCCTGTCAGGGCAGCTAATCCATTTAGGTGCTGAAGGCTGAAGGGAAGGCGCCCAGACAGCGTTGCTGGTGACAGTGGAGCGCCTAGGTCAGGCCAGGGAAGAGTGATTGCAAATGAGAGCCTTTAGTTGCAGGAAGGGTACAAGGCTCCATAAATGAACATGCCTTCTCTATGATTAACGCAGGCTCTGGCAGTGCATGAGGAAAGATGAGGTCCTTTGACTAACAGCTCTTCTTTTTTTAAAAAATATGTTTGTATTCATTTCAGAGAGGGGGAGAGAGATAGAAACATCAATAATGCTGAGAGAGAATCACTGATGGGTTGCCTCCTACACACCCCTTACTGGAATTGAGCCCACAACCCGGGCATGTGCTCTGACTGGGAATGGAACCATGATCACTTGGTTCATAGATCGACACCCAACCACTGAGGAGCACCAGCTGGGCAAGATCCTTCTTAAATATTCTTCCTACAGAGTCCCCCTTTGCAGTTCTCAGTGGTGCAGATTATGTGCCTGCATATGATGGAGAGATGACTGGGGTTTATATAGTCCAAAGACCAGAGAGCTTTTCAAAGCATACCCAGATCATTGATTCTTAAACAGGGTCCCAGATTGGGGTGGGATGGGGGACAGAAGGAAGGTGGGGAAGCCACATGCACCCCACCATCTTGAGAATCATTGTACCCAGTAAGAGTGGAGTTTGTGGCAGTGAGGTGCACACACAGAGGATGAGCACTGTGATCACATTGAGGTCCATTGGCCTCATGTACAGATGAGGAATCTGGCCCGAGCTTTCACAGGATGGACTTTTCCTGCCACACCAGGCAGCTGTTCAGACCTCATTTTGTTCCCCTAAGACCTCTGATTGCAGAGTGCTTTTGGCATACAAGGTCCTTTTTTAAAATTTTTTAGTAACTGAGAGCTTTTTGATGGGTTTCATGTCAGACCCATTCTGTTATGAAAAATGCAAAAAGTAAATGTGGGCAAGAAGAACAGGAGAACTTGTCAGAGCGACATGGAAGTAGCTGATAATATGAACAAATATTGAACAATACTGGAATGATTTAGCACAATTTAGTAATAGTGTCTTAAATAGGTAGTACATTTAATTAAGCCACTGTATTCCAAGTTGACTCTGTGTGCTTGTAATTTTTCCGGGTACAAGATGAAACCATTCAATTTAATTTTAGGGCAAAGTACAGTGCATTTTACAGAAAGCTTAGGAATTAATTCAGAAACTGCTTTTAGAGTTCTGGCGTATTCCACGGATCTGAACAGTTCTTTCTCATCCCGTCTTCTCTGGGTAATATCTGGAATGACCCAGAGGTCAACCTGGGCTCCACATTTTTCTTATGTAAAATAACACTTACCATTTGTTTACTTTTTCCTAATAGGGCCTGTGTCCCCTGCAGAGTGGCTCATCATGTGAAGGAATCTCTACTTGATGTCACTCACCCTAGTACTTTTCACCTTTCACACTGAGAAGGTCGTGAGCAACAACTGTCACTCCCTGAGGGTGGAAACTGCCATGATTCACAAAGGCAAGAAGTAATTTTCCTGTAATCACAAGATGACTCAGGTTAGTTGCTTTCAGCTATTTCTACAGTTTAAATCATCTGAGGTTTGGGGCCCTGTCCATGTTTAGTAAACATAATTAATCACAATTCCTATAATTTTAAGTTTATGACAATGATATAAAGTTGGAATTTATTTTTACACTAGGTAGGAAAAAGAATTTGAAAATAGTTGTACAGACTAAGTTAAATTTACAAGACTATACAGTATTTAGGGTTTTTTTTTAGAGTGTAAAATGCTTTTCTAGGACTTAAAAAGCATTGCTAAATGATACTTTTTTATTATACAAAAGTTTGCAATATAATTTGTACTTGAAAGTAATTATGTAGATGTTAAGTTTGAAGAATCACCTGTTAAAAGCTAAAAAAAAAACACCACCCATGTATTTTATGATTAATTATAAGTACATCCTTTGAACTGTCTTGACCAACTTGTACGTTTATTTTAGAATTATAGTTTAAATACATCTTTAAAATGTAAAACAGAGTTTTATTCCCTCATTTTAAATACTGTGTCTTCTGTGGTATTTATAGTGGAAGAACAATTTAAATTTTTTTAGTTATACAAGTGTGGCTACTGCATGCCTAGGGTATAGCTCTAAAACAGGCCTCTGCTAGGTCAGGAAATCTGTTGTCTTGCAGAGGATGCTTAGGAAACAGCTCATTGATCCATTGATTCTACAGTTAATTACTGAGTGACTGTCCTGGGTCCAGTTCCTTCCCTCCAGGACCTTCCAATCTAGTTGGGGGCATATACAGAGTATAGAGTTCAAGATGGTAACAGGAGAAATGCCCTAAGAGTGACAGATAATAAATACGCAGGACACAAAAATGCTGGGAGAGATTGTTTTTCGCTAGAGGAGGAGGAAGCTGTGCTAGACTTTGAAGGCCAGGTGAGATTTTGGCGCGGGTAGGTGATAGGAGAGCATTTCAGATGAGAGAGAACTGCCTGCTGACTTCAGCGAAGACCTCAGTGAGGAGCTATGGAGGAGTTTACTGACTGAGTCGGGAAGGGTAAGGAGTGGCTCACGAGACTTCAGGGACTAGCCTCAGGGACTGGAAGCAGGACACTCTGCTGCCATGTTTTGTTTTGTTTTTCTTCTCCATTTGTCTCTTATTCTGTTTGCTCCCCTGACTTCATTTTCTTCAACTTAAAGACAGGTCTTTTCCTGGGGAAGAAAATGGCCAGTGGCAGCATCAGCTATAGGGGGTCCATTGTAAATCCAATCACGTTGCCCCCCAATCCAATCATGTTGTCCCCCAACTAGCCCCCCTATGCCTTTCCTACTCCGTGATGCCAGAGGCAAGGCCAACATTTCTTTGACTTTACACTGAGATATCTCGAGGAAGGGCTCTGATTGATCAGCTTTTATCCCCTGGCCACCCTTGAACCAATGATTGTGTCCAGGAATATAGGATACCATGTTGGCCAGGGCTAGGTCACATGCCCATCCAGGGAAGGCAAGATACAAATTATCAGAAGGGGGAAGGTGAACTTGGTTGGACAAATAAAGACAATAGATAGTCTAGCCTCCTCAGAGCTAGATATACCTAAAGTGATATTTTAATAGTGTAAATCCAATCATGTTGCCCCCCAACTCACCTACCAACTTAAAACCTCTTTCTGTTGCTCTTAAAAAAACTCCCAATTGGATGAACTGTTGAACAAAATAGATCCAAAGACATAGAAGCCTGAGTAAAGGCTTTAAAAAAACCTCCAAATTGGGTCTTCAGATTTCCAGTGCATAACTTTATGTGACTTCTCCTTACCTTTCAAATTATTTTCCCTTCTCTCATGACTCACCAAGGCATCAGCTACAGGGGTCCAGAATTTGACTGCATAGAGATTAGGAAGCCTGGCTAAACCAAACCCTTCTCCCTAACTTCTCCTTGAACTCTGGGCTTTTATTTTACTATGAGTCTTACTGGCTTAATTACATTACCAATTTCTCAAGGAATTTGCATATATAATTCACATGGAAAATATTGCAGGAAATTTAAATCCACAGAGTCAAAAATGTCATACTGGATAGTCCTAGCTACAAATCGATTTCACAGTCAGCTATTTGTTCTGCAGTGTATAATCTTAACTGGAAAATATAATAAAACAAAAAAATAGATGTATGTTGTTCCCACAATATAGTTACTTGTTTATGGTAGAGGCCAGGCAATTGGGAGAGGACTTAGAGAACGTTCTCCAAGGGGTATTGTTCAGATACTACAAATTCTGAGCTGGTAGCTAGAGCCAAATTGAAGGGAATTGAGTTTTTGTTGATTGCCACTTAACATTTGCAAGTGCAATAACAGTTTATTTGTTCTAGGTTCTCGAAATTGTATTGTCTGATTGATTTCTTAAAGGGAAAACATTTAAGCAGACTAAGTCTACTGAAAAAAATTTTTTTTATTCTACTGAGATTTTGATTTAAAAGAAAAGCACTCAGTGTTTTGGTTTTTTCTGGTGTGTAGGCAGTTGTAGCCAGCCATATGTTTACTTTGTAAATTCTAGTTGAGGGTGCAATATAAGCTGTTTCAATTTGGGTGGAAGTTTTGTCAGACCTCACAAATGAGATCTGTACTCTGTTAGGAGTTTGCCAGATTTGCTGGGACTGTGTGCAGGTCCATGGTAATTAAGGATAACCTACTCCTAATTTGTTTGAAGAGTAAATCCTAAAAGTCTCTTTCTTGCTATAGAAAGAATGATGAAATTAGAATACAGTTGTCCCCTGTACCTCCTAGTGGATGCCTGAGCCATCGCTAATACTGAACCCTAGCTGCACTATTTTTTTTTCTATACATAATAGGAGGTTTACATATACATATATAAAGTTTAATTTCTAAATTAGGCACAATAAGAGATTAATAACAATAACTACAATAAAATAGTTTGTAATAACAGTTATGTGAATGCGGTCTTTCTCTCTCTCTAAATATCTTAGTGTACTGTACTCACCCTTCTTATGATGATGTGAGATGATACAATGCCTTCGTGATGAGATGAAGTGAGGTGGATATGATGGACAAAAGGATAATTCGTGTCCTGGGCAGGACGTAGGGGAATGGCAACAGATTTCATCATGCTACTCAGAACAGCGTACAGTTTAAAACTTACGAATTGTTTCTTTCTGGAATTTTCGATTTAATATTTTCAGACTGTGGTTGGCCATGGGTAACTTAAACCTCAGAAAGCAAAACTGGGTAGGGCTGGGGGGCCTACTCTATTGTTGTCTGATGATAATTGTGGTAAAGATTGTTTTAAGTAAGAGTCATCAGTGGATTGGATGCTAAAACTGGTGGGTGAAAGGATGAGAAGCAGGACGTTTCCATCGTCTCAAGAGATTTTGTTGCTGGTGGAAAGAGGGTTCTTCCACGGAGTCACGAGAAAAGCATTTTGAGGCCCCCCGCGAGGAGGATGGGGTGTCGTGGTAAGATTTATTGGAGCAATAACAGACTGTCCCCAGGTGCCTGATCCACGACCAGATGGTTCAGCTCCATCCCGCTGCAGAGCAAGTCCACTCTCTGGGGCCGTAAACCCACACTTGTCTTCACCCAGCCCAGGAGGACCAGGGCCCAGAGGTGCAGAACTTCTCGGCCTCATTGCCCTATCTGCACGGCCACTGCCAAGGCTGCATTTGGGGCGCAACTGGTGCTATGTTTAGGTCTGCTTGGCTGCTGGGCCTAAACACAGCCCCTGCTGCTACAGAGAGAGAACACTGGAACCAACGGGTGAACGAGCAAATGTATATTCCTTGGGGCTTGGGAGAGAGCAGACTTTCTTTCAAACTAGCCTGTCTCTCCCCTGGCTCTTAGCGGGCTTATGCTGGGTCCTCCCTCTATCCAACTCAGTCTTTTCCCCAGGTTTTCCATGTTAGACTTTGCCCCTCTGTGTTACCATTTTGGCTCCTACAGTGTGTCCCCAAAGTCTTGCTGCATCATCTGGTTTATACTACGCATGCGCTTACCTCTCCCTGCACCTTCTTGGCTTCTACTGCGCGTGTGCCTAGCAAAGACATTTCCCCTGATGTTTAGTTACTCCTCACTCAGCCATCCTGGCTAAGGACTGATAGCCACCTCTTCCTGCCCACTCTGGGGGTTCAGTCCCCCCACAGAGGATGCCGCTGGCCTCTGGGGACCCTGTCGGTGCTGTGGCTTCCTAGTAAGTCAGGCTTACTGTCTGACTCGCCTCCCTAGTGAATCAGGCTTAGTGTGTGATTCCATTTGTTCCCTTCCTGAATGAACTGGCTACCTACACTCACGGGATGCACGGGATGCAGCGGGCGGGCCAGGGGCAGGACTGAACTCGCTGATCTGCACCAGGAGGGCCAGCTGGGTTCGCACATGATTGACCTTACTTTCATACTGATTGGTAACGAGCTACAATCTCAGCATCTGGCTATTCCCCTGGGCTGCTCCTCACTCACGTGCCACAAGAGAATAACGAAAAGATTAAGCCCCTAACAGCAGAGGCCTCTAAGACCTGCTCTTGTACCTCTCCCACTCCTTTCTGATTGCCCGTGCCCTGCAGAGGAGGTCAGGGGAGGCTTTCTGGAAGAAGGGAGGCTGTGCCGAGAATGAACAGAAGTTAGCCAGGTAGACACGGCGCCGGTGCAGGCCCCGGGACGAGGGGGAATGAGTGGCGCCTGAGTCTCACAGCTCGTCTGATGCTGGCGAAGGATGGAGAGAAATGGCCTCAAGAGGCAAGGTGAGGCCAGGCAGAAAGAGACTCGTATGCCCTCCTAAGACATCTGAACTTGATCAGACAAGTATGGAATGCCTTTGAAGAAGTCTCAGCTAGGAAGCAACACAATTAGATTTATATTTTATGGAAATAGTTGTGGCAGAATTGAAGAAAGGGACTGAAGGGCCCAAAACACACCTGTTTATGGACTGTTGACGTAATTCAGGTAAAGAAGTAAGCACCCTTTCTAAAATAGCATCCCTAGGGATGCAGAGAAATGGTTGGAATCCAGAGACACTACAAAGGTAGAATCAGTCGGGCTTTGTGACTGGATTGGAGTGGTGAGCTGCATGCTACACATTTTTAAAAATCTGTTTATCATCAGAACGATTTTATCCAAGTGAATCTTTGGCATGTGCTTCCAAAACTTAGAGCTGATCTTGCACAGGAAATGACAGTGACCAGCTCATTCCCAAACCATTATTTTCTGAGGACTTGCCAGTAAAACCCATGCATTCTTGAGTCTTTTGACAGCTGTGGTGAAGGCTTTTCTCTTTGCAGCTTCTAGTAAAGATCAGCACAGCCTGGGGCAGCGGTAGGCTCCCAGGTTTAGGACACGTGCCCCCTCCTTCAGCCGCCTCTGACCAGCCTTTCTCGGGGTGGCCCTGTTTCCCCAGGATGGACCATGAGGCGGCCCAGCTGGAGAAGCAGCATGTGCACGACGTGTATGAGAGCACCGCCCGGTACCTCAGCGACCTGCAGGGCAAAGCCTGGCCCCGCGTCCGCCAGTTCCTCCAGGACCAGGAGCCCGGCAGCCTCATCGCCGACATAGGTAACGCAGGGCTGGGCGCGTGGTGGGAAATACATCCCATCGTGTCTTCCTTTTCAGAGTCCGTTTTCTTTGCTGTGCGAACCGGAAGTCTGACATTGTGCCCTTGGCATGCCTGTCACCCAGCTCATTCCCTTTATTTTTTTAATATACTTTTATTGATTTCAGAGAGGAAGGGAGAAGGAGAGAGAGAAATATTGATCGGCTGCCTCCTGTGCGCCCCACACTGGGGATCTAGCCGGCAACCCAGGCATGTGCTCTGACTGGGATAGGTCTGGGCTCAACCACTGAGCCACACCCCAGGGCAGCTCATTCACTTTATAGCAGAAATTCATACAATCAAGTCACCAAGTAGGAAACTTCCTCAAACTTACATTTAGACATTGGCGATCTTTTCAGTGTTTGGGGGCACATCCTCCAGCATCGGTTGAATAAATCAGGATTGAAATGACTGCTTGGGAAGCTGACTGTTGTAACTTTAGAGATGTTCACATGTGTAGATAGTCTGTTGTGGTGGCTCACCTCCCGTGGCTCTCACGCCTTCCACAGAAGATCCAGAGATCATAGATTTCCTGTAACCTCTTATTCAATGGATTTTTTCCCCCTGAACTATTTTGTGGGTGTTTCATTATTAGAGCCTGTCTTTAAATAGATCATATCTTTGTAATGACAGGTTTGCCTGGCAGATTTGGGCTAAGGATGTTTCTGAATTGAGTGGTAAACCACAGCCCGGTAGATCTAAGATTAAGGTCTGGGCTCCCCATTTGAGGCCTGCCCGCCTAAAACTGCTTTCTAACAACTGCATGAAGATTACACCCATGGAGTCCTAAGTCTGTACTTACACACTCGGCCTAATTTGACATTCACTCTAAGTGCTGGGAAGAGAAACACAGGTGCCTGGCCAGGGCTTTTGACTTGTTAAAGATGGTGCGAGCAGTGTGGAATTTGGGGAAGGGTGGTGCATGTCATGTAGAAATAGAGAGTCTTTGATAATATCTCTATCAGGTCAGTGTTTGTTTTTTTTAAATAAATCTGGTTTTAGAAGATACATTGACTTTGGAACTCTTTTTTTTTTAATATATTTTTTATTGATTAAGATATTACATATGTGTCCCTGTCCCCACATCACCCTCCACCCCCTCCCCCCGTTGTCCGTGTCCATTGGTTAGGCCTCTATGCCTGCATGTAAGTCCTTTGGTTGTTCTTTCCCCCTTATCCACACCCTCCCCTCCCCTCCCA